CATTCTATATATATTCTAAATATATATATATAATGTCGTATTATATAGAACATATTATCTTTTCGGAGATATCTTCTTATGCATACGCGTTTGTCGTTAACAAGATGACAAATTAAATTTCAGTGAGGGGGAAATCATTTCTGGGGAGAAGAAATAATATACGAGGCGTGAATAAATCTAAGGGTGAGTTCCCACTTAGCGCATCACACGTCGCGTCGTCCTTCGCGGATTAATCAAATCGTCCCATTTTATTCGTCGTAATAATATGGTACGATTTGATTGGTGTGCGAAGAACGACGCGACGCGTTGCGCGCTAAGTGGAAACGTACCCTAAATGTGTATTAATCACGCCATTCAAACTACGGGTGGAAAAAGTGAATAGTTGAAAATGAAAGCTGTATATATACAAAACAAAAATTCGTGTACGAAAACTCATCTCTACGTGCAATTTTACCTTTATCTTCGTAGATCTTTATTCTGAATTCTTTTTTTTTTTATAAAAGCACTTGTGTGAAAGGTTATAAGCTTTCTGATTGGCCTTTTGACTGGCTATAAGCCACTTTTAAGGGACACTTTTATCAACAAAAGGAAGTTGAGAGTAAGGGCCATAGCGTTCACGTTCCTGTCAATCGTTTCTCCGTTATTTTTCTATTTAACATAGTCTACCAAGAAATGTGGTATTTTTAATCATAATCACATTGAGAGATTGTGTCCAAGGAAATTATTTCTTAATTAAATTCTGTGGTGATGTTAGCTTGAATTTTTTTCGTTTTGTATAAAAAAATGAATGGAATATCCATTGATAAAAACTTATAATTTTTTAAATTGAATTTTTTAAATTCTTGCATAATAATGGCCAAATTTCGATTCGGCAGGCTTCCTTTTCGTCGAATTATTTCTTGATGATATATGATCTTCTTGATGATATTTAACAAAAGATTTATGATCTCTTGTTAAATATCATATATATATCCATATATACATGTTAAATATCATGTATATATCTATATATACATAAAATCAGTACACTAGGATTCATAAATGCCTTTATACTTCTGGTATCTAGAGAATTGGATTTTTTTTTATCTGGCGCATCGCTTCTCAGTAAGTGTGAATCGTGATTGGTTAGTTATTGAAAGAACCGATGACTAACAGTCAACATCTGTGAAGAGGGCACCACATTTTTAAAAATATCAATTTATTATCATAGTTTTGATCGCACCCCAATGAGTTCTAGAATTCTAGATAACATTTAGAAATAGTTCCGGCGAAATGAAGTAAAAAAACTAATTTTGAAGTTTGGAGGTGCTAAATTCACAAAATGAAATCAGAAAAATGACAGTAACTTTTTAACGGTTGTACTAAATGAATTTCATTAGAATTTTTTATAGAACTCTTGTGGTGCTATCTAGAACTCCAGTCGGAACGCTGGAATTATTTAAAAAAATTTCATCCTTTCAGGACTTAGAAATTTTCACGAAACCGAATCTTTGAACGACTAGAACTTCTCTCTCATTGGTTTTAGCTCGAAGATTATGAAGATAATCGATAGAACTCATCGGGATGCTATCAGAACTCCAATCGGAACGCTGGAATTATTTAAAAAAATTTCACCTTTTCAGGACTTAGAAATTTTTATGAAACCGAATCTTTGAACGACTAGAACTTCTCTCTCATTGGTTGTAGCTCGAAGATTCATGAAGATAATCGACAGAACTCTTCGGAGACCAAAACTCCGGTCGGAACGCTGGAATTATTAAGAAAAATTTCACTTTTTCAGGACTTAAAAATTTTCACAAAATGAGATCAGAAAAATGACAATAACTTTTTAACGATTGCACTAAATGGATTTCATCATTAGAATTTTTTATAGAACTCTTGTGGTGCTATCCAGAACTCCCGTTAAAATGCCGGAAATACGAAAAAAAATTTACTCCTATGGGACTTAATAGAACTTTTTCTTTCTCTCTTTTTCTCTCCCTTTCCCACGCGATATTTTTTTTCTTCATTATAGATCTTAATAGAGGAAATAAAAAGGGAGACGATCGCCTTGCCCGGAACTTTCTATTATGCTTGAGATATAGCAGCAGTTTATCGAAAAAATGACAAACCTTCTTTATTAGATATTGGATTATAATTATAATTGAGATAATTGAGATAATTAAGATAATTGAGATAATTGAGATAATTGAGACAATTGAGATAATTGAGATAATTGGGTCAATCTAATGCATATCGAAATTAAAGTCCTATGCTCTTAAATGACAAAAAAAGCACAAAATGCTACTTATAGTTTCTAAAGAAGTCTTCTCAATAAAGCTAGTAGGTCAAATAAAATCGAAAATGGTTGATATATTTGAGAGTGTAAGATATATTTAAGGATTATAAGAAGATCTAATATTGAAGCGTAAAAATGGACGTTTATTATTTCAAGAAATCCTCTGCATTATCAGTAATAAAAAGAAAATTCATTTGTAAAATGCTTCACGTTTAAATTGTGGATATTTAAAACACTTCTTGAATCTCCTTTCAGACTCGAGTTGAAATTCCAGCCCTACTTTCAACCTGTACTTTCCAACATCTTTATATTTTGGAGGATTAACATATGTTTAATACACGCACAAAACTAAAGTTTCACTTAACCCTTTTAAATGATAAAGAAAACGTATAAAATGTTACTTGTAGATTCTAAAGAGAACTTCTCGACAAAGTTAGTAGATCTAATAGAATTGAAAATGATTGATATAGTCTTTAAAGTAGGTATTAATATTAAATACTAATATTACTACTATTAATATTAAATATTAAAATTAATATTAAATATTGAGATCGAAAGTAGAATTAAAATTTCAACTCGGAGTATTCATAATTTCAGAAGTTCATAAAGACACATAAATAGTATTGCCTTCTTGGTCTAAATCTTTCCAAGTTATAAAAAGAGGGCGGCCAAGATATGTCTATATTCTCGGCAGTCCAATATGGAGCCGATATACAGTGTTCCCAAAAGGTGGTACCAAATTTTAGGGGTATGTAGTACTCGTTAAAACAAACCAAAAACTCTTAATGAACAGTACTCGGAAAACCTTTTATTTCTGAGTTATGAAGCATTTTGTTCAACAAGTCGCGGTTTACCGCAGTCAACTAAATTTGGTTTGAACTGTCCGGTTTCACGTAAGCGTTGATGAATTTTGCTAAACATTCTTCTACTTGGCTGTCAGCGATTCGGATAAGCTGCATGATATAAGCGTGCTGCTTTAGAAGCATTGTCTTTTGCTCTGCCATACATAAAATGAATATCCGTCATTTCAGAATTTGTGTAAAAATTAGCCATTTTTCAGATATTCAATTTATATATGGCAGAGCAAAGGGCAATGCTTCAAAAGCAGCACGGTTGTATCATGCAGGTTATCTGAATCGCCAACAGCCAAGTAGAAGAATGTTTAGCAAAATTCATCAATGCAATGGACGGGGGACACATTGAACATTTATTGTAAATTTTAGTTATTTTCTATTTTTCACAGAATAAAATGCTTCATAACTCAGAAATAAAAGGTTTTCGGAGTACTGTTCATTAAAATTTTTTTGTTTGTTTTAACGAGTACTACATAACCCTAACATTTGGTACCACCTTTTGGGAACACCCTGTATATATATATGTGTACACACACACACACACACACACACACACACACACACACACACAAATATATATAATTAAAAAATTAATATATATATATAAAAACCACATTGAATAGATTGATATATGAATCAGAATTATTCTCTCTCTATATGTATACAATTATTCTATTATATATAATTATTATATAATAGATCAGTTTGCGATCGATTTAACGTTGGATGAGCAAGTGCTTGACGTACTGTTATTTGTTTCCGCATCTACCCACACAGCAGGAATGTCCCAAATACATCATAGGGATATCTTGAAGATATCACATATCCCAAATATATCTTTAGGATGTCTCTATGATATATTTTGGATACCTCTGCTGTGTGGATAAAAGATCTACTTTTTCTATCGAGCTGTTCGCCGCCATATTTGTACTGTAACTGCTTCTCGGGGTAACACGACAATTTCCCGAAAAATGGAGGGAATAAGATTGGTACCAACGAAAACCTCTAGATGACATAATTTCAATTTCTAAGGATTACTGACACTGTTTAAGTGATAAATTGTTAGTTTACGTAAACTTTTTGACAGATGTGTGCGGTTAGGCGACAGTTTCCTGAAAAATGGAGGGAATAATGTTGATACCAAGGAAAATCTCTACACGATAATTTAAAGATCTGTTCTTTGTAACTGCACACTGCTGAACTAATACAAAAGGTTAGAATGAGAAAACGTATATTTGCTTCACTTCAATTTATTGCACCAGTTCAGCAGTGCAGTTGCAAAGAATAGATCTTTAAATTATATCGTGTAGAGATTTTCCTTGATACCAACATTATCCCTTCCACTTTTCGGTAAACTGTCGCCTAACCGTGACATGAATTATAGATTTTCAATACTGGCAGTGAATTTCGGAACGCAGCCATGGAAAACGCGGACTTCGTATTCTAATTTTTCTACACCACAGAAATTTGACGTTGAGTAAATCTTCCATATAGTTCGTTTTGAGTGTTCACGCGCTATAAGCGTCATTCTATCTTCCTTCTACATGTAGGTTGCGTTCGCTTTGGGCGCTTACGTGCTGTAAGCGTCATTCTATCTTTATCGCTTATTACATGCGGGAAGAAGATAGAATGACGCTTACAATGCATAAGCGCCCAAAGCGAACGCAGTCATAATGAGTGATAAAATTAGAATGACGCTTACAGCACGTGAATGCCCAAGACGAACGCAGCCAAACATTTTCTATTTATTATACTTGTGTGCATATCTTGAGAAATATTTAATATTAAGAATTTTTTAGAATATTTAGCTAGTAACAAATGAAAAGAGAAAAGAAAAAAGGAAGAAATCTTTAATAATACGCCAAAAATATTTTACATTAGTTAATTTTTTATTTTATTGATGGATATTAAAACATTTTGAAATAAATAATTTATAGCATATTTTGAGGAAATAATAATAAACAACATGTGCCATGTAAAAATTAACTTCAGATAGCACAAGATTTGTAGGAGATGTTCTCAGGACGTAAACGTTCTCAGAATGTCTTTAGGATATCTTGGGGAGATATGTTTTGTTTGGGATACTTCTTGTAACAGATAAATACGTTTTCTGTTCGTCTGTACGATACAAATCTCAAATAAACTCTAATTAATTAATTTCGAAAAAAAAATTATCTTATATGTCCTAACAGTACAGATGCCCAGGAGACGTCCAGAGTATGTCCTGGAGACGTTTCTAGGTCTTCAGGACATCTCTGGGACGTCTCCAGAAGACCTTATATTGTATGGGTAAATATTATTCGTATATAACATAAATTGTACGATACGTCATTTAAATTCGATAACATGGATTTATAATCAAGTTGCATTCCAAAACATTTTTTTCGAGGAAAATTTTACTTTTAAATCTATAGTTCATGTTACATACATTATAGACTTAAAAGTAAAATTTTCTTTGGAAAGGATGTTTTGGAATGCAAACCTAAAAGAAAAGAACGAGGAAAAAAAATTTTTATCTTCTAAAAAGAATTTTTGAGCTTAAATCTGTATCGTAGGAATTCATAGACATCATGGACTCATGGATATCTTTACGTTTGTTAGGTACTCGAAAATCGTTGATGATTTTGCGCTGTTTCTTGGGATCTATTGATACAGGCATTATACCGACGGATTGCATTCCCATCGATTCCGAGGAATATCTGTGAAGAACAATGAAATACATAAAAAACTGTCCTTTTGAATGTTCGTTACTGTGATTCCGATAGTTGTCGGATCGGTAGGCGTCGTTGCGCAGTTTTTCCGCGGTATAAAAAAGCTGCACAACGACGCCTGTCCGATTCGACAACTGTGGGAACGGAATAGTATCCCAGGGCCCTGATTCTCGAAAATATATCGCATATAACATTTAGTGAAAAGCTATAGTTCATGTTACGTATACTATAGCTTTTCACTAAATGTCGTATGCGATATATTTTCGAGAATCAGAACCCTGGGGTACTATTCCGTACACGCTTACATCCGACAGTTGTCGGTAAACGTGTACCCTTATAGAAATATCATACTAAGAATCATTGATAATTACTTATTTTCAGTATTAAAAATACTGGATAATAAGTAATTATCAATGATTCTTAGTATGATATTTCTATAAGGGTATGTAGCCCTATTCTGTAACTCGTTATTGTAGTTAACGACAATTTCGTTATCGTTGTGCAGCTTTTGTATACCATAGAAAAGCTGCGCAATGATAACGAAACTGTCGTTAACTCCAATAACGAGTTACAGAATCCAAACACTGGGGCCCTATTCCGTAACCACTTACCGACAATTATCGGATTGGTAAACGTCGTTGCACTTTTTTATACCATAGAAAAGCTACGCAACCACGACTACTGATCTGACAATTGTCGATAAGTGGTTATGGAATAGGGTCTCTGGAGGTACAAACTCCCGTCTGGAAAGTGGTACGCTCTATACTTACCACCCTCTGCAATAGTCTTCGGATATAGCCGAACTAAACGGGTGACGTCATGCGGAGTGGGGATGCACGCCAATTGAAGTATGAATGACAGACGTTATAGCAAGCAATAGCAAGCAGCATATACACGTATACAGTTGTGTGCATGCATATATGTATATGTATAAATGTATATCTCTTACTATTTTTATAAGATGATAAGAATTAAAAAATGAAGAAACTGAATAAAGGGTGCTTTCCAGTTGCGTACACTGTGTTACACAAAATCAGTTTATTGATTGCATATTATCTTACAAGATATTTTAGATAATATGTGACCAATAAACTGGTTTTGTGTACGTGTGTGTCAAAATGTGTTAAGCAATTGGAAAGCATTCTATATAAGATATCCGGTAACTCGCGCAATGCCGTATCGCCACTCCGCATGATGTTATTAGTTGAGTCCGGCCATATCCGGAGACTATCTCATAAGGCGCGATTAAAAACGGGGGCCAATTTTTACAAGAGGGAGGTCGTACCCCCTGCGTACGACAGTATTATCGGACATGTCGATTGGTTGATAGATAGAATACTCTTAAAGTTCCTAACTTTTCTTCCAGATACCTCAGAAATTCTCTATTCGACAGCCAATTAGAACGTCCGACAAGTTTGTCGTATGACATATGTAATATTAACTTTAAGAAGGAAGAAAGATCTACGGTCATATCAAAGTCTTTCATTTTTGAAAAATCATAAATCTTTTCTCTTAATATGAAATCATGAAAAGTGAAAAACTTTACCTAAAAAAATTAAAAGACTTAACCTCGAAAATATATGATAATATTTACTTTATAAAAATTCACGTTGGAGGAAAAGATTCATGATCGTCTTAAAGTGCTGCAAAATTCACTTTTCATGATTTTATACTAGAGAAAACAATTACATGATTGATAAGTAAGATCGAGTTCACGATCTTAGTGAAAAGATCTTAATGAAAAGATTCACAATTGATACTCTGACCCTGGCGAAAATAGAAATTGGAGAGTAAATAAAGTGTAAACAAATAGTAACGGAAGTATAAAGCCCGTATCAGACTACGGATTAAGATTGAGATTGAATTGAAAATTGGCCAATCAGAGCAACGTTCACCAAACTTGAGCTTAGTAAATTTTGCTCCGATTGGCTAAATTTCAATTCAATCTCAATCCTAATCTATAGTCTGATACGGGTTTAAGTGAAGCGCTTACATTTCCGTCAAGGCACCTTTACATGGGAGCATCGAGCGTTAAAGCGGTAGCCAATCAACGTACCGCTTTCCGCAAGAACTAAAAGTATACTTCTGGAACCTGATACGTTGATTGGCTAACGCTTTAACGCTCGACGCTGGAACGCTCCCATGAATTGGCATCTTCACTCTTTGTTTACACTTTATTTATTCTCCAATTTCTATTTTTGCCAGGGGATGTAATTATCTTCGATTCGAACGCGCGTGACGGTAGCGTGTGCTAATTGTTCTCTTCGAGTTTTCAATTCTTACCCAGAGCTAGATGGATGAATAAAAATTCTAGAATTTAGTGGTGTCTGTATCGTGCTGGACTCGCGACGCGAGGAATTCTGTTGGATTTGAGCGGACAGCTTCTCAAGTTTATCCTTCTCGAACGCATCCTTCTTTAGACGCATATATTTTATCGTCAGCATTTTCATATCCTGTGCCATAGTCCAGTGCCGGTTCTTTATGACGTTGTACTTCTTCTCCTTAAAACGCAATCGTGGTATAAAAATACAGCATAAGGATTATAAGTAGAGAATAAAAGATAGTCGGTTGCGTGTGTGATATATACAAGTTCGATAAGATAGTGCATAACTATTTTCAACTGATTGTTTCGAAACTCGTCGACACGCAATATGTCGAAGAAACATGTCTTGAGAGTTTCAGCGAGCGGCTCGAATAACGGTTTCACTTTGGGCGGCAACTGCTCACCCAGTTCCACGGTTAAGACATCGTTGTTTCCGCACAGGGTGCAGTGCTTCTCGGCTACAACGCGACAAAAACAATGATAAATCGAAGATCGTAAACAATACAGAATCGTCACTTTTTCGAGGCTTGTTCTTATACGAATACCTTTTTGCCAGCAATCCTGACAATAAATATGAGCACATTGTGTCAAGAGATACGGCTGTTTCCCTCTGTATTTCAAGGTGAAGCATTTATTGCATATTGATGTATTTAGAAGAAATGTATCCATGATGAAAGCTATGTGACTGAAAAAAGGGCGAAACATGCGATTCGTGAGATTGTTGATATTTTTCTCCCATCTCACTATTACTTTGAAACCGCTCATACAGCACCAAATACATCCCAGAGACGTTCCAAAGACAATGTGATATCTCTGGGATGTCTCTGGGATGTATTTCGGACATTTGTGCTGTATGGGCGAAAGTGGTCTTCTCAATCGCGTTATGGTAGACCGAGGCAAATTGGATCAAAATAAATTTTAAGACAGTTGTCGTTAGTTTCTTGTTTCAAACGAGCTGGTTAAGGTAACCGACGCAAAATAGCTCGTTTGAAACAAAAAAACTAACAATAGGACTGTCTTAAATCTTATTTTGATCCGTCTCGGTATGCGTCTCGGTCTACCCTCCGTTTAAACTATTTACATACCTAGATAGTACAAAATCTTCAGAGAATGTTCTAGGATATTTTTAAGATGTATAATGTGCTTAGAATATCTTTAAGACGTCTTTTGAAGATTTGTGCTGTATGGGTATGGTTGTTTCCGGGGAGATGTTATTTAGCGCTATGAGCGTCCTCTGTCCTTGTTTAACTTTCAAGAACAAACAAGGACAGAGCACGCTTATAGCGGTAAATAGCGGTTTCCTGAACGCAGCCTATATGAAATATAATGTCTGTCTGTATATTTCTTTTAACATTTAAACTCTTGACCGATGTGGATCAAATTTTGCATAGCTATTCTCTAGAACTCTGCGGAAAATATGGACTACATGAAATCTGAACACTCTACCCTGACTTTTCCCTTTGATACTTTATGTTAATTTAGATATTTCTAGATATAAGAATTCCAAGTAACACTGGACAGTTTAAGTTAGTATATTAGATACTGATTGAAGTGATCAAAACTTACTCACAGTGTATGTGCACCAAGACAATTGAATTAATCGAGTTTTATTTCTTTGACGTGATGCGACTGAGGATAATTGCGAACGACGCGGTTCCAAAGATCCAAAATGGCACCAAGCATTCAAACATAACGGGAAGGAATAAACGGTTCTTAAGATACCTTTACATGGGAGCATCGAGCGTCGAGCATTAAAGCGGTAGCCAATCAACGTGCGACTTTCCGTAAGAACTACAAATATACTTCTGGAACCTGATACGTTGATTGGCTTTAACACTCGATGCTGGAACGTTCCCATGTATTGGCACCTTTATTGGTCAATAGTATAACTCAACGTTGGGTCAGAAAGATTTTTTACACCTGCTGCCCCCACTTCTGTCATATCAGCAATATAAACAGTATAACCTCCACTATTCCAAGACGATGGGAAAATATCAGTAGAAATGTCGTCGCAACTGCGACAGTCGCAAGTTTTTCATCTCGCGACATAAACCTTTTCGATACGTGCCGAATATCTACAATATTTCCCCCGAAATCATGGAACTTATGCGTACTCTCATCGGCCGCAACCTCAAACGATCATTTCTGAAAGCGCCCGAAAGATTCTGTGTGCAACACGCACGATACATCAGGTACCGAACGAGATAGATGAAATAAATTATCGAGTAATGTTTCAAGTAACAATGTCTTATATGTAGTCGCGAACGAAGAAAGAATTAATTTCACATTCACTTTTATTCGAATATGTTGATTACTATTCATTACTTCTTCATTTATATACATGCGTTGTGCGCAGAACCATGAGTTAGAAAAAGACAGAGAATTGTTTTACAATCTATTAATTTAAATAGCTTTTATGACGCAATACCATTGTGACAATAGGTCTTTGCAAATTATATGTAATGGTTATCGAGTTTTATATGTAATAGTCAGGAAATGTTAAGAAAGATTTAAACTTTTAATAAAATATATTTATATCTTTTCAGGTTAGCAGAAGTTGGTAAACTAGAGACACCAAAACTACAAGGAAAATATGAAACAGGTCAATTGATTCTACACAGAGTTTTCGGTTATCGTGGCGCAATTCTTTTCCCTTGGCTGGCCAGAGTATATGATAGAGATATATCTAGTAAAAAAGATGAGTATGTACAGTTATTTATAACTATATAGTTTATTTTTAACTTATACACTCATGCAGTTGCTTCTTTGCTCTAATTTGTGTTACAAATTATTTAGCAATAGGTTTATTCTACTGTGCTGTCTGTAAATTATTTCTGGTAATTATTTGTAAATACTTGCAATATGGACTTAAAATTCTTGACCGAAGCCTGTTTATTTGTGCAGAAAGGATGATAACAATTTTAACAGCGTGGGTAAAGAAGTAAAAGGTAGAACACATACATTTTATCAAGTTCTGATTGATCAGCGGGATTGTCCTTATATAGTAAGTCCTTATATACTACATAAGAAGAATAATATGCATATTCACACAAGCTATAAAACTTCTTTATGTATCGCTTAGCGCGCTCAAACAGAAGCAGTGACTTTCCTGGGCAATCACGAAAGCAGCCGCAGCTTGTACGCCATCCCAGGATTGGATTATGTTGCGCACGAGGATGTCTTACCATATAGCACAAACGAGAAAGCGGCTTTACAACATGAATTGTTTGACAAGTTCCTGACTTATGACCCGGACAAAGAACCATGCTTTGTAGCGCAGGAGACTCTTCGAGCATGGCAAAAAAAGAATCACCCGTGGCTCGAATTGTCTGATGTGCATAAGGAAACAACAGAGAATGTTCGTATCACCGTCATACCTTTTTACATGGGTTGCAGAGAAAGTCAGACGACTTCTGTTTACTGGGTGAGTCAACTTATTGTTATTCTCTAGCTGGTGTTTGGTAAGAATTATTAAAATAACTATTCTATTGAAAGAAAGAAAGATACGCATTTACTTAAAGAGATTATTCACTTAAACCAGAATGCTTCAAAAATTTAATATGACATTTATCGCGGTAAATGACATTTGTAGTTAAAGTTTGATTTGTCTACACATGGTTCATAAGAAATAGAATATCACAATTTTGCACATACAACCTTATGACAGAAGCAATATAGATGACTATTATTTCAATGTAACTTTGTAAAAAGTGATACCATTCAAATAAAAAAATTACCCTTATAAATGTTATACATTAAGAAACGCGGGATAGAAAAAAGAATAATATAAAGAATAATATAGCCACTATATATATATATATATATATATATATATATATATATATATATATATATATATATATATATATATATATATATATA